CGCACCTTACTGCCCTGCCCTTGCGCGCCCAGCTGCCCTGCTACTGAGTGCCCTTCTGCCCTGCATGAGCACCGCCCTGCCCTTGCGCGCCCAGCTGCCCTGCTACTGAATGCCTTGCTGCCCTGCCTGAGCGCCTCCCTGCCCGCGTGCGCTCTGCCTGCAGCTGCGCCGCCCTGCCTGCCTGCGCGCTCTGCATGCGCACCCTGCTGCCCATAGTGCCAGCGCGCCTTGCTGCCCAGCACGCCAGCGCGCCCCGCTGCCTGACGCGCTAGCGCGCCCCGCTGCCCAGCGCCCTAGCGCGCCCCACTGCCTAGCGCGCCAGCGCGCCACGCTGCCCAACGCACCAGCACGCCCCACTTCCCAACGTGCCAGCGCGCCCCGCTGCCCAGCGTGCCATCGCGCCCCACTGCCCAACGCGCCAGCGCCCCTCGCTACCCGACGTGCCAGTGCGCCCCGCTGTCCGACGCGTCAGCGCGCCCCGCTGCCCAGCACGCCCCGCTGCCCAGCGCGCCAGCGAGCCCTGCGCCCAGCGCCCAGCGCGCCCTGCTGCCCTTAAATAATAATAATAATAATAACAATAATAATAATAGTAATATTAATAATAATAACAGTAATAATGATAATAACCTTTGTGCTGCTGCCCTAGGTGCTACTGCCTACTACTGCCCTAGGTGTTGTCGCCTGCTGCTGCCACCCAATGTGCTACCGCATGCTGCTGCCGCCCTAGGTGCTGCTGCCACCCGAGTGCTGCTACTGCCGCATGTGCTGCTGCTGCTACGCAGCTGCTGCTACTAGCTGCCACTGCCTGCCATGGCCACTCCCACTGTCCTACGTCAGCGGCAACTGAGTGTGCAGGAGCCTCTCTCACCGCAGCAGCTTCGCGAGTGGGCTATCTGGTGGGGCAACCCCGGTGGCGGAGCTAGCCGTGCTAGGGTTGGAGGTGCTGGTGCTGGCGGTCCTCGTACTCGTCGGCGAGAGCCGCTCTCATCGCAGCAACTTCGCAGGAGGGCTGTCCAGTGGGGCAGCCACGGTGGCGGAGCCTGGTGTGCTAGTACTAGAGGTCCTTGTGAGTCTGCTCCTGCTGGTAGTGCCGCTGGTAGAAGCGGAGGTTCTGGGGGTGGACAGCAGCAGCAGTAGCGTCCACCGGAGACTCTCTCCACGTAGCAGCTTCGTGAGTGGGCGGTCTGGTGGGGCAGCCCCGATGGCGGAGCTTGGGGTACTAGTGCTGGGGGTGGAGAGGCACTTGGTGGCGTAGAGGCTACTAGTCTTGGTGCTTTCGACTCAGCTAGCACAGGTGCAGAGCCTGAGCAGGCCTTGCACACTTTTACTCTTGACTCAGTAGCGTCTCGTTGCTTCTTCCGCGACAGCACCACTGTAACACCGCTCACAGTCCCTGTCCCTGTCACACTAGCCGACCCCTCCGGGGGCCCGGTAGTCGCGCGTGGTGCCACTGTTCTGTCAAACTATATGTGCTGCTTGTTGTGTAGGCTGTAGTGGGGTAGCCCATATGGGGTACAACCCAAATTAGGGTTTCCTACTTGTACCCATCCAGCTGCTAGTTCATTCATTCCTGTTCGTTATTCTGACATGGTTTCAGAGCAGGTCCTAGCCTATGACCGATTTCATAGGGCCCACCGAGTAGAGCTACCCCACCTGTCGCGCCACTGTGATCGCGTTGCCCTGCCCTACCCTGCCCTGCCCTGCCCTGCCCTGCCCTGCCCTCCCCTGCCCTGCCCTACCCTGCCTACTGCAGCGCGCACTGCTTTGCCTGCGCCGTCTGCTGCAGCGCGCCCTGCTGAGTCGCGCGCCGCCTGCTGCAGCGCGCCCTGTCCTGCCCGCGCGTCGCATCGCCACGTCGCCCTCCCCGCCTTGTCGCCCTGCCCGCGCGTCGCGCCGCGCGCCCTGCCTACGCCCGCGCGCCGCGCCGCTGCACGCCCTGCCTTGCCCGCGCGCCGTGCCGCCGCGTGCTCTGCCCTGCCTGTGTGCCCAGCCGCGCGCCTCTACCCTGCCCGCACGCCGCCGCCGCGCGCCCTGCCCTACCTGCGCGCCGCGCTGCCGCACGCCCTGCTCTGCCCGCGCGCCGCGCTGCCGCGCGCCCTGCTCTGCACACGCGCCACACTGCCGCGCGCCCTGCCCTGCCTGCGCGCCGAGCTGCCGCGCACCTCTGCCCTGCCAATGTCAGAATGTTATGTTTGTCTAGCCTCCAGTGGGGTACTCAATAGTGAGTACAGCCCAATTTAGGGTTTCCTATATGTACTCAACTGCTTGCTAGTGAACTCCCTTCTTCATTCCTCGTTTCTTCACATGCTATCAGAGCATCTACGGTCCTGGCCTGTGGATCCACCTAACTGCTTCCGCTGCTACTCTGTGTTTGGCACGCCCCGTGGCGTGCCCCTCGCGCTACTCTTAGCGGCCCCGTTGCCGCCCTTCCAGGCCCCTCGCGGCCCCTTCGCGGCCCCGTTGCCGCCCTTCCAGGCCCCTCGCGGCCCCTTCGCGGCCCCGTCGCCGCCTCTTTTGCGGCCCGTCGCCGCCCTTCCAGGCCCCTCGCGGCCCCTTCGCGGCCCCATTGCCGCCCTTTCAGGCCCCTCGCGGCCCCTTCGCGGCCCCGTCGTCGCCCCTTTCGCGGCCCGTCACCGCCCTTCCAAGCCCCTCGCGGCCCCTTCGCGGCCCCGTCGCCGCCCCTATCGGCCCTGTCGACGCCGCCAGCGGCCCCATCGCCGACCCTAGCGGCCCCGTCGCCGCTCCTATCGGCCCCATCGCCGCCGCCAGCGGCCCCGTCGCCGCCGCCAGCGGCCCCATCACCGCCGCCAGCGGCCTCGTCGCCCACCCTAGCGGCCCCGTCGCCGCTCCTATCGGCCCCGTCGCCGTCGCCAGCGGCCCCGTCGTCGCCGCCAGCGGCCCCGTCGCCGCCTCCAGCGGCCCCGTCGCCGCCACTTGCGGCCCCGGCCACGCCCCGTCGCCAGCCGCGGCGCACTGGGGGCACGTGCACCCCCCCCCCCCCCCCCCCCCCCTTTTCCCGTCGCTCGTCGCGGCTCCTTCGGGGGCCGCGCGACCTGGGGGGGGGGGGGGCGAGCGTCGCCCCTTCTGCCGCCTGCTTTGGCGCCCTGGGAGGCCGCGCGTCCCCCCCCCCCCCCCCCCCCCCTCCCCCTTCTCCCCCCCCCCCACCCGTAACCTCCCTACCCGCCATCCCGCCCTGCCCTGTGTTAGGGTTTGGGGGTGGCGAGTGGGGGGTGGCGGGTGTGTGGTCTCCCCTGCTCCTCCTCCTCCTTCGTCTCCCACTGCTGCAGCTGTCGCTGAGGGGGGTGGATGTGTGGGAGCCTGGGGTTTAGGGTTTACGGGGGGTGCTGTGGGAATGGAGCTAGGGTTTTGAGGGAGGTGGATGTGTGTGAGCTTGCGGTTTAGGGTGTAAGGGGGGTGCTATGGGAGTGGAGCTAGGGTTTGAGCAGGGGGTGTGTGTCGAGAGGTGTGGGGCAGCTGGAGGAGGTTTGTTGAACGGAGGTTGTTGTCGTGTCGTCAGCAGCACCAGTAGTCCGGGGCGCTGCTCCGGTAGCCCAGTCGTAGCCAGCTGTGTCAGTCGCCCGTGGGTCCGTTGCTCGTCTGCCGCTAGTCTTAGCCGCGGAGCCAGTTACTCCAGTAGTCCAGAGCGCTGTTCCGGTAGCCGCTGTGCCAGTGTGACTCCTGTTGCCCGTGTGTCTGCAGCTTCAGCCGTCGCCTCCTATCTCCTCTCCTCTTACAGTCTCGCCTCCTCCTCCTCACTTGCCCTTTGTGAATGACTCTAGCTTTGCTCACTATTGTGAACTCCTGCTCTATGCCTGCTTGCTCATTGTGCTGATTACACCCCACTTTGGCTATGGGGGTGTGTCAGAATGTTATGTTTGTCTAGCCTGCAGTGGGGTACTCAATAGTGAGTACAGCCCAACTTCCTATATGTACTCAACTGCTTGCTAATGAACTCCCTTCTTCATTCCTCGTTTCTTCACAGCCAGCACGCCGCGCTGCCGCGCGCCTCTGCCCTGCCCGCGCGCCGCGCCGTGCACCCTGCTCTGCCCGCGCGCCGCGCCGCCGCGCGCCTTGCCTTGCCCGTGTGCCCTACCTCAGCGCCGCGCCCTGCCCTACTGCTGTATTGCTGCTAGCGCGCTCCCTGCTGCACTGCCGCTAGTGTGCTGCTCCCTGACTACTCTGCCTGCTATGGCCACCCTCAACGTTCTCACCTTCGGTTCGGAGGGCTGCCCGATAGAGTTCAATGCATGGCTAGACGTGTTAGAAGGAAATGCTGCCATGAGCAACAAAATGTCTGCGCTGGGATTCGTACTCGTGACCTTCAAATCTGTCCTGAAAGTGTCTCAGGACAGATTCAGGACAGTTTCTGCTAAGGCGCTGGTTATGGTGCACACGAGTTTCGAACTGGAGACCTTTCGATTCAAGTGTCCCGAAAGTGTCTTGTCAGGACACATTGGGGACAGTTTGGGGACAGATTGGGGACAGTTTGGCGAAATCGATCTCGGGTCGCGTTCGGTTTGAAACTCGGCAGCGAAGTGTCGAAGTCAACAGAATTCGCACGGGAGTTACAGTCGGTGGTCGACGGAATTCTTGTCGCGGAAATTCTCGTCTACGGAATTCCAGTCAATGGAATTCGCTCGGCTAAATTCAAGGCTCCGTATTTCGCGTCGACGAAATTCAACGTGCGACCCGGGTAGACACTATCTTGTGTGCTTTTATTTTGTATTGCGTCCTAGTATAAAACCAAAGAGCACAAACCAGAAATCAACCAAGTCATTATCACTGCTATGTTTGTGTGTATCTCTGGCTATAGTGGACCGTTTCCTGCACTCTTTGGTGCGTTCGAATCGTGCTTTTGAGCTCTATCAAGCTGCTATAGTAGTGGAATTCTACATGGTATCAGAGCTGCGTTATCTGCGTCGATCCAACTAGCGGCTTGATTTTGTCCTCCCATCACTTCGTTCCCACGTTGGTGTGGCCGACGCTCGTTTTGACTGCGCATGGAGTGGTTAACGAGCGCTGAGGGTCTGAATGCCCGTCAGGAGCTGGAGGCGTCCGTTCGTGAGCACCACCCTCACTTGCGTGATGAGGAGGTCGACCTCATTGTGGATGGTCGTCTACTACGCATGGTTCGGGAGCGCGCGGCGGAGCAAGCACCTGCGAGCAGCCAGCAAGGAGGAACTGGTGAAGGAGGAGCTGTGCATGAGGCTCCTAGTGCTGTGGGCATTGGTGGAGGAGCTCTTGCACCGACCATTGACACGTGAATGATCGGCACGAGCTATGGCCAATTCAAGTTTGGAGTTGAGCACATCTCAGTGACGCAGCTGCTGGAGGGAAGGCACGACCTTACCGCGTGGGTCAGCGCCATCCGACCTCAGCTCCAGTGTGCTGATTTGTGGCAGTTTTGCAACGGGACAGCGCCAAGCCCGGCCCTAAACAACCCCTTGCAACGAAGGGAGTACGCAAAGGGCCAAATGCTTGCGTTCATGGTGCTGAACCGATGTGTTTCTCCACCCATCCGAATGTCCATCTCTGGTTTCTCTCAGCAAGAGAAAGTCGGACAGCTAGCATGGGCATATATCTTGTCTACTTATCAAGTTCGTGATGCCCTCCACGCTTCCCTACTTCAGACCCAGTTAGCTCAACTCAGGAAGGGAGACGATGAGACAGCAGAATCCTACTGCAATAGGGCCCGCACCATCCGAGCGGAGCTGCTGATCATTGGACAGGAGGTCCACATGGCCACGTTTGCTGCCCACGTGCTGAAGGGCCTACCACCGGAGTACGGATTTCTTCGCCGCAAGCTCGAAATTTCCAGCCCTGACATGACGGTGGAACGCGTGTGCAGCGAGGTGTTGATGGAGGAGCAGACTCTCTCCATCGAACAGAGTTACAAGCAGATCACCAGTGATGCATCTGCTTTCTCGGGCGCTGTCAACACCATCGTGGCTACAACGGGGGTCAACGGGAAGGAAGGAAAAGAGGGAAGGGAGCAGACGGACAAGAAGAAGGATGGCAAGCGGGAGAAGAAGCGAGCCCCCTTCAAGGGGCGCTGCTGCAATTGCAATGAGGAGGGGCACATGGCTGCCAAGTGCCCCAACAAGAAGAAAGATACAACGCCCGCGGCAGCCGCGAACGTAGCTGAAGGAGACGGGAAGGGCGTGGCGCTCACCGTCGCGTGTTCGCTTGCAAAGTTGCTGGCCGACGACAAGGACTTGTGGTCCCTTGACTCAGGATGCTCTCAACACATGACCGGCCGCAAGGAGTGGTTCACGGTGATCCGTGACCCATCTGCAACGAAATCAGTCAAAGGGTTTGATGGTTCTATGCAGGAAGTTGCCGGTGTTGGTGAGGTTTTGCTGGAGGGCACTAACGGCTTGCGTGTGACCCTATATGATGTCCTCTTTGTGCCAGGAATGAAGGCCAACTTGGTCTCCCCTGGGCAGCTCTTGGACAAGGGAGCAAAGCTGCAAACCGAGGAAGGTGTCACTCGCATCATCGCATCAGGAGGTCAAGTGGCTGCAACGGCACGATACCGCCATCGCCTTCACTGCCTTGACCTGAAACCGGGGCCAGCAAGGAACGGTGCAACGGCAGTAGTGGCATGCAACGGCATGGCGGCTGCAGCGGCATGCACCGATATGGCGGGTGGAACGGCGAGCAACGGCACAGGGGCTGCATCAGCGTGCAATGGCACGGCGGCTGCAACGGCAAGCAACGGCACGGCGAAGGAGATTGCTGATGTGGCGTCAAGCAAGCCGGAAGCTAAAGATGGAGCGGCCAGCCTCAAGACGTACGCGGTGGGCTCCAAGGCAACGCCCAACCTGTGGCATGCTCGCCTTGGACACATCCACTTCGATGCGGTGAAGCGGACAGCCACGAGCGGTGGCGTGTTCGGTATGGATCTGGAGAAAGGAGGTGAGGATATGCCGTGCACCTCCTGCCATGAAGCCAAACTCACTCGTGAATCATTTCCGCTGCACGACGAGCGAGAGGAGCAGGTACTTGGGCTGGTCCATACTGACGTGTGCGGTCCATTTCAGACCCTAGCCATGGATGGAAGCAGGTACTACATTCTTTTTGTCGACCACGCCTCACGTTACACCTGGGGGAAGACGTTGAAGCTGAAAAGCGACGCGCTTGCTGCCTTCAAGGAATGGCTTCCCGAAGCTGAACGCCAAACCGGCATGACGCTGAAGGTGTTGCGGTCGGACCGGGGAGGGGAGTTTATGTCGCATGAGTTTCTGTTGCTGCTGAAGCAACAAGGAATTTTACGTCAACTCTCCTGCCCCTCGACCCCCCAGCAGAACGGTGTGGCTGAACGCCGCAACCGTACGGTAACCGAGGGCATGCGTGTGATGTTGGGGCACATGGGGGTGAAAGTACACTGGTGGCACTTCGCTTTCCAGCAGTTCTTGTGGGTGGTAAACCGTGTGCACCAATCCACCCTGCCCCATGGTGTGACCCCTCATTTGGTGGTGTTCAAAGTCAAGCCCGATGTATCCATGGTCCGTGTGTTCGGGTGCATGGTGCAGTACCTCGTTCCTGAGCATGAGCGTGAGGGGAAGCTTGCAAGCAAGACTCGTTGGGGCATTCATTTGGGCATGAGCATGGAAAGTAAGGGATGGCGTGTGGTGGATGTTGAGTTAAAGCGCATGGTCATCACCCGGGATGCACGTTTTTATGAGGACATGTCACTTGAACGGTGGCAGAAGTGGCGTGCACGCGTGGGTGACGGGAACGACCAGCCCACACCACCCTTTGCTTCAGTCCCATCTCTCTTCCCTGAGCCCCGCGACCCCGAGCAGAATCCGCCGCCACCACGTACCGTCATCGTGGTCCCGGTACCGTTTGTACAAGGGGGCGAGAAACCCCTTGAACGCTCGGTGGGCCCTTTGGGCAGCAAGGCACCTACTGCACCTCCTCTTGTTCCACCCTCCGTTGCTGATTTGGCGCCCGTAGGACCGGCGGATGGTCCTCTGGAGGTTGACACCAGCAAGGCTGATCACGAGGCGGAAGAAGAAGAAGAAGTAGCAGTGGATGAGCAGTCACCTATGGCCCATGAGCATGAGCCTTCACCTGTAGTTCCCCCCTTCCAGCCCATTCCACCACCCCCACGTCGCTCCAGCAGGCCTAACAAGGGGGTGCCACCCGTACGGTTTCAGCCATCAGCCATGACGGCCCTGGATGCGGATGATGAGGACAACCCGTACGATGTGGCATACCTTGCTGAGGACGAGTGCGACACGGGCAGCGATGACGACGTGGAATACCTGGACGAGGATGAGGAGGAGGAAGGCGCTTGGGGAGGTGTCATCCTCGACTTAGCAGCTGCGTTGACCGGACCTGAAGGCAAGGAATGGTGGGCTGCTATGAAGGAGGAGATGGAGAGCCTTGATGAGCAAGGCACTTGGACGTTGGCTGACCTACCTGAAGGTCGCAAAACCGTCGGCGTCAAGTGGCTGCTGAAGAAGAAGCTGCGGCCTGATGGTACCGTGGAGAAGTACAAGGCCAGGCTAGTGGCTAAGGGCTTTAGCCAGCGATTCGGCATCAACTACGACGACACTTACGCTCCTGTTGGCAGCTACACCACCGTTCGCGTGCTCCTCTCAATCGCAGCAGCTATGGACCTGGATTTGCTGCAGCTTGATGTGAAGAATGCATTTCTTCACGGCACCATCGACCACGAGATCTACATGCAGCAGCCGCCTTACTTCACCGACGGTAGCAGCAAGGTGTGCCTCCTACAGAAAAGCCTTTACGAGCTAAAGCAGAGTCCCCTTCTGTGGTACAAGGAGCTGGACAAGGTGCTCCTTGTGGAGGGGTACAAGAAGAGCCTTGTGGACCAGGCCCTATACTACAAGGATGGGGAAAGCGCGAAGCGCGTGTGGCTGCTAATCTACGTGGAGGACCTGCTTGCGGCAAGTGAAGACCAGCAGCTTCTGCAGGACCTGAAGGGGCTGCTGGCCAAGGCGTTTCAACTCCGTGAGGTGGAGCCAGTGGAGCGCTACCTGGGACTGCAGATTGAGCGAGATCGCCCCAACAGGACACTCTTCCTGCACCAGAATGCGTACGTGGCGAAGGTGCAGCAACGGTTCTTCAAGGGGGCGCCACCAAAGAAGCAGCCTATCACTCCTCTCTCCTCTGCCAGCTTTGCTAAGCAGGATGCCGGCCAGTTTGCCAATCGTACCATGACCGAGTACTTGTCAATTCTCGGCATGGTGCAGTTTGCAGCCATCTCAACCCGTCCTGACCTCTCTTTTGCATGCAGTCGCCTTGCAGCAGGTGCACACCTCAGGACCGATGCGCATTGGCATGAGCTCTTCCGCACACTCTCCTACTGGGCTGCCTCACCGGACAAGGGGCTGCTGTTCAAAGGAGGACCAGAGAGTTTGACTCTCGTAGGGTATGCTGATGCGGATGATGCAGGCGACAAGGAGAACCGGTCGTCCACGGGAGGCTACCTCTTCAAGCTTGGCGGAGCTGCCGTTTCATGGCAGGCCAAGAAGCTACAGGGTGCAACCAAACTTTCCTCCACCGAGAGCGAGCTTGTGGCTGCGGTGGAAGCAGGAAAGGAGGGGCGCAAGCTAAGGCTCCTACTGTGGGAGTTTCAACTGCTCAAGAAGGGTGTCCCCACCACCGTGTACGTCGACAACATGTCAGCGGTGCAGCTCAGCCAGGCGGGTGGGCTGCAGGGGCGCATGAAGCATGTGGACCGTCGCCACATGTGGCTACAGGACATGGTGCGCATGAAGAAGTTGGAGGTGCAGCACATCCCTACAACGGCGTAGCCCGCGGACTTCCTCACGAAGCGGCTCGAGAAGGCAGCCTTCAACCGATGCTGTGCAGCAGCCGGGCTAGTCCAGCGTGCTGGGGGCGTGTTAGAAGGAAATGCTGCCATGAGCTGTCAGATTTGTATGACATAGCTGTTGTAGGCCATAGTAGGGTAGCACATATGGGGTACAGTTTTCTAGGGTTGTATTTGTACCCAACTTTCACTTAGTCATTTCATTCTCGTTCTAACTTTCTCATGGTATCAAGCAGGTTCCCTCGTGGGAACTGTGCCTAGGGCCCACCACATCGAAAGTTTTTTTTTTTCCTGCCCAAAGCGCGCTCCCCGAGTCGCGCTCCCCTCTCTGCCTTCGTCGAGCCGCCCTAGCGGCCTCCCTTGCGCCGCCCTTAAGGCCCGTCGCGGCCCTTACTCGGCCCATCGCCGCCCTTCACGGCCCGTCGCCACCCTAAGCGGCCCGTCGCCGCCCTCCCTTGCGGCCCCGCCGCCCTCACTTGCGGCCCCGCCGCCCTCAGTTGCGGCCCCGCCGCCCTCACTTGCGGCCCATCGCCGCCCTCAGTTGCGGCCCCGTAGCCGCCCTCACCTGCGGCCCCGTCGCCGCCCTCACCAACTGCCCGTCGCCGCCCTCACCTACGGCCCGTCGCCGCCCTCACTTGCGGCCCCGCCACCCTCAGTTGCGGCCCCGCCGCCCTCACTTGCGGCCCCGTCGCCGCGGCCCCGTCGCCGCCCTCACATGCGGCCCGTCGCCGCCCTCACCTGCGGCCCGTCTCTGCCCTCACCTCCGGCCCCGCCACCATCCTTGCGGCCCTGCCGCCCTCAGTTGCGGCCCGTCGCTGTCCTCACCTGCAGCCCCGCCGCCCTCAGTTGCGGCCCCGTCACTCTCACCTGCGGCCCCGCCGCCCTCAGTTGCGGCCCCACCGCCCTCAGTTGCGGCCCCGTCGCCGCCTTCAGTTGCGGCCCGTCGCCGCCCTCACCTGCGGCCCCGCCGCCCTTACTTGCGGCCCCGCTGCCCTCAGCTGCGGCCCCGCCGCCCTCAACTGCTGCAGCGCCGCCCGCCGCCCGAGCCGCCCGAGCCGCCCGAGCCGCCTCACCCAGCCGAGCCGCCGACCGCCGCGCCGCCTTGCAGCAGCACAACCGAGCCGCCCAGCAGCAGAGCAGCCGAGCCGCCCAGCCGCCGTGCCGCCCTGCAGCCGAGCCGCACTGCAGCCGAGCCGCCCAGCCGCCCAACAGCCGAGCCGCCGGGCCGCCGAGCCGCCAAGCCGCCCAGCAGCCGAGCCACCGGGTCGCCCAGCTGCCGAGCCGCCGAGCCGCCGAGCCGCCTTACCGCCGAGCCGCCCGAGCAGCCCTATCCGGTGAGCACAGCGCCTCTGTCACTACACTGCCCTTTCCCTACTGCTTGCACTGCTAGTACACTGTTGTCATGGCTACCCCTAGTGTCCTCGCTTTTGACGCTGAGGGTCGAGCAATTGACTTTGACGTCTAGGTCGACGACCTGCAGCAGTTCTTACAGTGCGATCGGGCAGACGGTCTCTCTCTCTTTGACCTCACCCCTGGCGCCTCTCCTGCCCCTGCTGCTAATGCTGACGCCACTGTTCGCTCCCAGTGGGCCATGCGCGACGCTGCTGCACGTCTTGCTGTGCGTCGCCACCTGCCTACCACTGAGCGCGCGCACTTTAGTCAGTACAAGAGTGCTCAGACCTTGTACGACGCTGTAGTTGCGCGCTACTCTTCCCCTGCCACTGCTGCACTGAGCCGCCTCATGCTACCGTACCTCTTCCCTGACCTTGCTGCCTTTCCCACAGTCGCTGACCTCATTACGCACTTCCGCACTAGTGACACTCGCTACCACGCCGCGCTTCCTGCTGAGTTCTGCGCCAGGAACCCCCCCCCCATGTACATCACTCTCTATTATATAGTCACCCGCCTCCCTGACTCCCTTCGTGTAGTCAGGGACCACTTCCTCTCAGTCTGTCCCACCACTCTCACTGTTGACCTCCTAAAGAAGGCCCTCCTAGCAGCAGAGAAGAGCATAGTCGCTGTAGGAGCCTCTCGTGGTGACCCTCGCACCCCCATCTTTGAGGGGTGTTCCCCTTCCCCCCTTTTGCCCTCTATCGCCTCTGCTGCTGCGGCCGACCTTGTTGGTCTTGAGTCGGTCGGTGCGGCGTCTGCCCCTAGCGAGAGACGCCACTCTGGCAAGGGCAAGGGGGGCAAGGGCGCGGGTGGAGCTAGCGGAGGTGGTGGAGGTGGCGGTGGAGGCGGCGGAGGGAGTGGGGGTGGCGGTGGAAGTGGTGGCGGGGGTGGAGGTGTCGGTGGCAGCAGTGGAGGCGGAGGCGGTAGCGGTGGGAGCGGAGGCGGCGGTGGTGGCGGAGGTGGAGGCGGCGGTGGTGGAGGAGGTGGAGCTGGTCGGGGTGGCGCTTCGCAGCGGAGCGGCTCCGGTGGTGGTCAGCGCCAGCAGCAGCAGCAGCAGCGTTCTCGGGACATCCCCCCCCCTCAGCAGCTCCGTGAGTGGTACGCGCAGCGTCAGCGTGGTGGGGGTTTTGGTCCGTGCAGCTACGTCCTTCGCACCGGCGACCGCGCGGGTGAGCAGTGTGGGGGTGCCCACCCCACCGAGCGCTGCTTTGGCCGCCTGACGGATGCTTGGCGTCACCAGTTCCCGCAGGCTACTGAGATCCCCCGCTGGGGAGAGCTGTCTAGGGCAGGTGTCGCTATCTATGATCTTGAATTTGATGCTATCCTTGCTGCCATGTATGCTGTGACTGTTAGTGATGAGGGTGACTTTTACCGGTGTTTCCCGCCCAACCCGGGCATTGAGCCTGCTGCTCTAGGTGCTGGTGAGGCTGCTGCTCTAGGTGCCAGTGCGTCTACGTCCTCAGGTACTGGTGAGTCTGCGCTCTCAGGTACCACGTCGGCTTCGGCCTCCCTCACCTTCACACTTGACTCAAGGGCTTCTCGCTCCTTCTTTCGAGACCGCACCACACTCACGCCGCTTGGTCGGCCGGTTGCAGTCTCCCTGGCAGACCCCTCTGGGGGCCCTGTCCTCTCTCACTTCTCTAGTGTCCTCCCGTGTCCGGCTGCCCCCTCTGGCACCTTGTCTGGTCTTTACTTTCCCTCGTTCTCTACGAACTTGGTGAGTGGTGCTGACCTACAGGATGCGGGGGTTCACCAGTTTACTCCTGCGAGTCAGCGGGTGTTCCGCTGCTCGGACGCTCGCACAGGCAGGCACCTGGCCACGTTTACGCGTCAGCCAGGGTCCAGCCTCTACACCCTGACCACTGAGTCTCCTACTGTCCCTGCGTCTGGCCAGGTAGCTGCGTCGGGTCAGGTGTTTGCTGCAGCGTCCAAGTCTG